TTGGTTAAGTTATTCAGCCGGTACAGTAAAAAGCTCTGATGTTAACTGAAACATCTCTGCGTAGAGCGACCGCCCTGCTTGTGAATTTGAATTCTTCGACTCCTCAGTTCAGGACTTCTCCATCTCTTTCTTCTGGATTGGAAAATTCTTGTTGATATTAAAGACGGCCCTTTTTCAGCCAGACGTGAATTTCAAATGTTGTGAGAACATGTCTTGATTATAAATGTGATATATCAGTTTGGCTCAGGCCGGCTAAATGTCTTCAACAGTGCTAAAAAAAAGACAGACAATACTGAGAAGCATTAATTTTGACTGTTTAAAAAAAACAAAAGCAACAGAAAGAATGGCTTCATTTTGAATCTGACTCTGGTTATTTTAAAATACACATTTCAACAGCTGTTTCTGTGACAACACACAAGGCTGAGGCTGTTTGTTTGTTTCCGTGCTTCTGTAACAGACTACAGACCTGTTTAGAATCTCTCATGATTAAAACAGGAGCATGTTCACATTCAGCTCTTCAAATAGCTGCTTTAAGAAATCCTCAGTTCTTATCGGATCTACTTTGTCTGTCACTTGCTGATTGCAGGATATTCCCCTCACTCCAAAGAGCTGCTCACCACTTGGTTCACCTCTGACCCTCGTGAAGAAGTCATAGGCGAAAGGACGCCACATAAAACGACACCCTCCATCGTGCTGATTAACCAATGCTTTTATTTTCACTTCCATCATCCCTGGCCTGACAAATTGTACTTTACATCGCCCTGCCTCCTCCATGTGAGCAGATGGGACATGCGCCAAAATAAAGTTAGAGTACACATCACATTAATTGGTTTCTGTCATTTTAGGAAGTTCTTATCTAACTGATGTTCTGGTGCTCATTTTTCATTTGATGCCATGATTGACAGCTGTGCTTCGGTGGGACCTCGATACATCTACTCCACACGGACGCTTCCAAGGGGTGACGAGATGAATGTGAGGGATCACGAGATGATGAATGTGAGAAGAAGTAAGTCAACAACTAAAGCTCTGATACACATTTTTATTTTATATTATGGTTTTTTTTCTCTGTTTGATTTTTGTGGAATATTAATCATATGACGTTCTCTCTGGCTGTTGCATGACGAACTATGGACCTGTTTGAGAAAACATGAAACCAGCCTCGTGGTTTTTAAATGAAACCATGTGAGAAGTTTGGAGGAGAAGTACAAGTCTTGGGTGAAAAACACTCACACATATCTGAAACATGACAGAAAGCTTGTACCACAAAAACAGAACAGGTCACAAGAGTTGGACATTCTATGAACTGAATGGTATCTCATAAGCTCACCACATGTTTTTATTGTAAAATGCTGAAGGGAAAATTAGCTACAGCCGTCTGATGTAAATGTTTCCCTCTGAAATAGATCAAGTCACACACTATGTTTACACTCAACTAAAGTGAACCACAAGTCAGACTTAAACACAGTTCTCGAGTTATCACTTAAAAGCAAAGTTTGCCGAAACAGTCACATGAATGAGGGAGAGAAATACTTACACCACTTTCTATGCTGTAATGAATGACTTTATTCATGATTAATTAAACATTTAACTAACGGACTAGAACACCCTGTGGGTCCAGATTGTGGAAACCGTCCTCCAGCGTGTGTGTGTGCAAAATAACTCAACAACACTAGATTTTCCCTGAAGAAAATTCCTCTGGAAGGTGTCTCTACATGATTTACTTTTGGAGCCTTGAAGGCTGAGGTCAACAAAAAGATGGAGTGAAAAACATGTTTTCTAAGACGTCTCCCCATGACGACCGTTGAAAATCTTAAGTGCATCATATGATCGCTGACGTCAAGAAGGAGTCAGAAAATGACATCATGCATAGTTTAGAAATATTTGCATCTGTTTGGACTGTAGAACTAAAGCTTCAGTAGATCGATCATTTGGTTGGAATGACGTCATTGTGATGTCACCATGGAGACAGAAAATTACACCATATAGTGTTGCAATGCAACAACAAGAAACCAATAAGATTAGATACAGTTTATATCCATCTATCTATCATCTATCTATCTATCTTGTATCATTCTTTTATATATCCTTTCTTTCTATCTATCTTTGTATCATTCTTTTATATATCTATCTATCTATCCTTTCTTT